CGTCCTCGGGCTTGAGGTGGTGGATCTTGGGCTGGGATTCGGTGGGGAGGTAGGGGAGGAGGGGCGGGAGGTTGTTCTTGTTCTTGTTGTTGGTTTGGGTGGGAGAAGGAGCGAGGGAGGAGAACAGCGCGGGCAGGTTCGCGCGGCGCCGCGGGTCCGTTTTGGGAAGGAACTTGAAGGGCGTCGAGAGGATGTTCGGCTCCGAGGAGGGGGGGTTGAAGATTATGTGGTCCGTCTTGGGGGCGGTTGATTCGGTAGAGGAGGTGATGAAGGACGGATGGGGCGCGACGCGGAGGGCGCGCTTGTGGCGGGAGGAGGTTGCTTGGTGGCGGATCTGCTGCTGTGGTATCCTCCTCGCCGAGAGAAGAGGGGGTGTGAAGGAGTAGGAGGATTGGGATGAGCGGCAGGCTGCTACTGCTGTTCTCCGTAAGGAGAGCTGGAGTTGGGCCTCCATGTTGAGGGAGGTCAGGATGCAAAAGGTGTAAAGGTGTAAAAAGAAAGACGGTCCAAATGAAAGAATAGAATTGAAGGGTTGTTAGACGACTAGGTCCCGCTGAAAAGTGTCGTCGTCAATGGCTGGCCTCCGCTGTCGTTGTCGTTTTCGTCGGCCCCGGAGCTCCTGAGATTGAATGTCGAGATCGGTCGTGTGTCTGCAGTGAACTTTTTTTCGAGCTTCTGGAACGATCACGTGTCTCCGAAAAAGCATAGACCATCTTTGGGTTACCTAAGCATGGGAGGGTGGAGCCGCACTCGGGAAAGCCGGATGCCCCGCTACTCGGCGTCCCTTTCCGGCTCCGGTGTCGATTGCCTCCTTCCACGGGCGGTTGCGATTCAACGGTCACGAGCACAAACGTATGGTACATCTTATTGACGCTAGGCGGCTATGATATAAAGGCATCTAGACACGGACTCAGGGGTTGGCGATACAACCACTAGTGTTCTTGCCGGTTTGAAAGGGCATAATTCAGATGTCTGGCCTGTCGCCCAAGAGGAACTCGAACCTGGACTGAAATGCCACATCCTAGACGTCTAGTGCTAACAGCTAACGTGTCCCTTTGCCTCAGCCACTACTCGTGATTCCTTTGGCCGCGAGTCTACGACCAGAAGCGGCGGCAACTATTTCGCTGCAGGTGACAATGACATGTCTGCTCGGTGACGACATCTGGGCCCATCAGCCCACCCAAGCCAGCGCATGTCGGGCCAGGGGCAGCGCGGGTTGCTTGCATTAGGGGCTACGGCAGCACCGGGGCTCCTTCAGCTTCGTCAGCTCAGGAGAAGTCACAAGCATGGAATGGCGAGGCAGAATGCTGGGCTGGTTGACGGTCCAACGACTTGTTGTTCCAGTTGCCCTAGAGTTGGTTGTTTCGCATAGATGAGAGAAGATGAATGGTGTCTGATCCAGATGGAATGACATCCGTCTCCGGACTGACGTGGAATGTTTCTCCCTCCATGTTGGTTTCCCACGGCGGCTGTTGTTTTTTCGCATGAACATAATTACCCGGTACCTGCTGCTGGAGGGGCGAAGAAGGCTGTGTGCCTGGCAGGCTGACGAGAAGGAAGAGCAGAACCAGATAACCTTTTGGCCGTGATGCTATTTTTCGACATGCACTCCGGAGCTTGATTCATGCGACGCATCCATCGCCTGCTGCTTAATCAGGTACACACGTCCAATCAGGTCTTCTACCTCGTCTCAGCAAGGTCCGGAGTTCCCTGCGTCCACGAAGTCATCGGACAGTGATCGAGGACAGTCCGACCTTGTTGACCCTCATTGACACGCTACTCAGCATTGCTGTGCCATGTTGGAGTCGTAGTCCTTTTGACGCTGAAGCAACATCCACGATCCACCACCCCTGAGAATCAGTCAGCACCTGCCTGGACTTATCTCAATCCTCATCGTATTCCTGTCTAATAAGTCGACCTAGAACTGGACACATCTCTCTGTCGATTGACCAGCAGGAGTCGAGATTGTCTCGGCTAAACAAACGAAGATCCAAAGTCCAAGGCCATTCCCTGTAGCGGGATCGCCGTTTGTACGTCAGCTACTGACAAGCGAAAAGACCCTGAAACATTGTTTTCCCCAGAGTCTCGCTCCGCTATTCGATTCCTAGTGCGAGTTCGACTTTCGCCTTGGAACTTAAGGACTCAAGGTTGCCTTGGTCAACGACACTTCTCCGTCGTCAACTCCAAGTTCGCTCGCTCAGTTACCAAGGATCTGGACATCTCACAAAGTAAGTTCTGCTTTTCTCCGCATCCGCATAGTCATACCCTGCAGCTCTATCTCGTTTCGCCCTCTTTCTCGCTATCAGTCGTCCTCTTTCTCGCTATCCGAACATCTGTCTTTCCCAACAAATCATCAGCCATTTCAGCCAGAGGGCAATCAGGTTCCCAGCTTTATATTGAGATAAACCGCATTCGGGGGTAGCAGGTTTTTGTTGGAGGGGAATCGCGCGGATCGTAGTGTCAGGTGCCACACTGCAACCCCTGTCGGTCCCTCTCTCACTGTCCGTTGCTGCTCCTGGAAGTCTCACGATAAAGCGCCTGCACTCCTAACTCTCTTCCTTCCATGATCTTCTTCCCCCGCCGTGCCTTGGATTCGGAGCTTCCAGCTTGGTCATAAAGCTGCCCAGTTGCCCAGATATTCACTCAACTCTGTGACAGAATCATTGGCACCTGACTTACGATTGTTTTGGTATTGCTACAGATTGTCGACATCTTTGCTTCGGTCCTTGAACTCGAATACGTTGCCTCATACTTTGCCGCTCCAAGACCAAGGCACTTGTCGCAAACAAGGACTCCACGTACATCACAATAAGTCAGCCGAGAGGCAAGCGGTTCAGACAATGAGTCTGGCAGCCACGTCGACGCCGCTGCAGAGCGCTGCCCCCATCCCGAGACTGGCTGAGCCTCTCGTCGACGATGCACAACGGAATGGCAGCGGCGACGTGACCCCGCGCGCAAGCGCTGCCACCGATGCCACCGACGACAACACCGATCCCAAGAAGAAGAAGCGCTCATTATTTGGCTTCGGCAAGAAGAAGGCAGACGAGGGAGCAAAGTCGCCGTCTAAAGACGAGCCGTCAACAACAACAGAAAAAGCACCGGCCACAACACCAACCGCAAACACATCATCAGCGCCGTCGTCCGGCCCGCCAACAAGACGGACAACCGCATCCCCAATCAACATCGAGGCAACCCACATGCTTCCCCCCTCCTCCCCAGGGCGCAACTTCTCCTCCTCCCCGCGCATGGCCTCCCCGGCCGGCAGCCAGATCTTCGAGCGCGACGTGCAAGAGTCGACCGTCCTCCTCCCCAACTCCCCCGCCATCCCCTCGCACATCAAGACGGAGGACTACATCCCGCCCGCCCTCGACGCCACGTCGGAAGCAATCACGGACGACCACCTCGACCCGGACTCGGTCGAGATCATCACCCACACGCAGCACCAGACAGCGGCCTCCACCCTCCACTCTTACGGCGAACCAGCCATGTCTTCCGCTTCCCAACACCTCGGCAGCGGCGGCGGCGGTTCCTGGGCGGAAGAACTCGCGAACTCGTTCTCGGACCGCGACTACGGCAGCGGCCTCGGCCTCGGCGCCTCGACCACGGACAACGCCTCCAACTACGGCAGCCTCGAGAACACGGCCGACGTCCGCCGCCTCTCCTTCATCTCCTTCGCCGACGTGGTGCAGGCCGAGCAAGGTCCCCACGGGAATTCCTCCTCTAACCACCGCGACAGCATGCACCTCGCCGGCCTGACCAGCCTGCCCTCGCCGTCTTTTCCAGCGGGCAACCGCAACCGCTCGCCGAGCCCCATCCGGTCGCCCGTCAGCTCCTCCTCCGCGACTGGCGGCCCGAGTCCGCCGACGAGCAAGTCCGGCTCCGTGCACGGGCTAGAGATGGGTAGTCCCGCGCGGAAGCCTCTGGGCAGCCCGATGAGCGGCAGCGCGCACCACGGCGGCAACATCCCCTCCTCGCTGGTGGGTGGCGGGGGGGAGCTGAACGTCGAGACCATGACGCAGGCGCTTAGGAGGACGGCGAGCGGGGATCTGGGGATGAGTAGGAGCAGCGTGCCTACTAGTCCTGTCGAGGGGCCGAGTCGTTAGTCTCCGAACGATGGGTGTTTCCCTTACGCCCTGATGAACGGGCTGGTCTTTCAATATCCCCATTTTTCTTGTTTGGTGCTGTGGTGTCAGGGACATTTCGGTTCTATGATTCCCCCCCTTTCCTATTGTGTAAGGCGTTATGGCAAGTTCCTCAAGCCTTGGTTCTCGGTGTTTCTTCTTTACCAGTTTTCTCTTTTTCAAATACCACAATACCAAAGAAACATGATTTTCCTCAAGCTGGGTGTTCATGGCATTTATATCAACACGGGAAGCAAACAAGTTTGTTGCAGGTTCAGGGGAACATCATATGGGCCATGGAAGAATAAGGGTTACTTTTTACAGTCGATAGTCGAGGAGAAATACTTGCGTTTATCGAGGCTCTATGACTTCTACTTTGTAGCTTTGATCTCCAGACACGTGTCAGGTCGTGATGTCTTTGATCATCGTGACTGATGGCGAACGGGTGGTTATTCTGGCCAGAATCACGATGTAGTGAACAACACTTGGCTCCTCGAAGAAATGGCGTTGCTGTGGACCGGATGAATGCCTTCGATGTGGCCGGCCCTGGATGTGCTTCGTCCACTTCAGTTCATCAAGCACCTTCACTCCGGCTTCACCAGTCCGTCTCCAACGACGTTGGCGGCAACAGTTCAGAAAAGAACTTGGAGCACCGTCCATATCACCATCATGACCTCGACTCGATCTGACCACAGACAACCAAAATTATCATCCGTGACCCCAACCCGCTCCAAAGACAGATGATGATGATAAAAAACCCTTTATGACCCTGACCCGATCTGAACGATGATAAAGTGCCCATTTCAGAAATCATCCTGTGAGTAAAAACAAAAAAAGAAAAATGGAAGGAACGAAACTCGGTCGCTCCTTCCTCGACTATGACCCTAACCCGATTTGAACGGATAACCTTTCGCTCTGGAGGCGAACGCGCTAGCCGTTGCGCCATAAGGCCTTTGTTGGATGAGGATTTGGGCCGTAGGTTGCATTTATGAAGTGTTGAGCAACGGGGGACGATCGCGGCGAGGGTAAAACGGTGGGCCGTTAAGGTGGACGGAATCGAGTGGGGCAGTAGGTGGGGTTGTGCGCTCCCAGGCCTAAATCGCGTTGACATGGAACCTCATGCCCTCAATGCAATGTAATGCATAAAAGGCCCCGAGCTCGTATGGAACACGAACCATTGTTGAATAGCTCGCCAGCGGAAAGCAATCGCTGACTTGAGGTAGGTAGTTGGTGCATAACTGTCTCGGTCAACGCAAAGCATTAACGGTGGTGCGGAGTTCGATAAAGAAAACTCCACCATTATCGCATCGGCAGACGGGCGCTTCAAGTCCCCGCTAGCGTCCGCAGAGTCCGCTAACCCCGCCATTATCCGCTTTGGGACAAGCTCTGCTTTTGAAGGTACGTACTGTACCCGACTCGGGACCGCCAGCAGCAACCAGCTAGCATCGTGGCGCCGTCGATCCTTTCCATTTGTCGAAGACGCTTCCAAGATAGGTGGCTGCCGTGAAGCGTAGAGGCGGGAGAGCCTAGTCCATCTGGAGAGGCTGATGAGAGGAAGCTATCGGCTGCACGAGTCTCCCCGCCTTGTTTCTTCCTTGACCGGTCCTTGCCAACCGTCCTGCTTCCCGTTGTGACCGCCATCACAACTCAACTGTCTGCCGGCCGGAGTTTGTAGAAGCGTTCGGAGCTTGCGAGTCGACTACAAAAGTCGAAAGTTTCCCTGTGATATATGAGCTGGTGTTCTGCTCGGTTGCCGCGCATAAACGTTCACTCGCTTCTTGTTGAAGACTACTATATCATCATCATTCAACATTGTCACTTGTCAAACCACGACCACGCCTCTATTACCCCGGGACTTTGCGACCCTCAGCTCCACGCTCGACTCTGTGTTCTCCATACCTCTCGCAGTTATGGACTCTGAGAGATCACCCCTGCTGGACTCAAAGCCAGCACAAAACATCATGTCCGGTAAGTTTGTAATGTCAATCTACACGATACTTCCTATTGTGTTCTAGACCAACTACGATCCCGTCTGCATGTCAGAACCCTGGTTCAAGAGGATCGCCCACCCCTGTCCCAGCGTCGCTCTCGCCAAAACGATTAAGGTGCTGACATCCGCGCAACCACAGAAACATCGGCGGAATCGTTCGCTACCGCTCTCACGGCCCAAAAGTCCGGGAGCGATGACAGCATCAAACTGCCCCAGGCCATCGCGCACAGAGGGTACAGCGCAAATTTCCCAGAAAACACTCTCACCGCGTTCACCGCGGCCGTGGAAGTAGGCGCGCATGCTATCGAGACGGATATCCGGTTGTCGAAGGACAATGTCGTCGTGCTGTCTCATGTGAGTTACCGTACCCTATACCTCACCTCGCAAGTTGTCGAGCCAAATTGAAACCTAACAAATGAACAAGGACTTCTCCCTAAAACGCTGCTTCGGCGTCTCCAAAACCCTCGCGCAATGCGACTGGGACTACCTCAGCACCCTCGAGACCCTCGCCGCGCCAAAACAGCACATGCCCCGCCTGACAGACCTGCTCTCCTACCTCGCCCAGCCGGGAAACGAGTCCGTCTGGTTGCTGCTGGACATCAAGCGCGACGACGACCCGGACCTGCTTCTCAGCCAGACGGTGGCGGCGATTGCCTCCGTCGCACCGCCCTCAACCAAACCGTGGCGCGAGCGCATCGTCCTCGGCGCGTGGTCCAGCTCCGTCATCGACAAGTGCAGGGCCCACCTGCCGGGCTTCAACGTCGCGCTCATAGGCGTCTACCTCCCCGAGGCGAACCGGCTGCTGAGGGAGGAGTCGGACGTGTGGTTTAACATGCTGCTGCTCACGCTGCTCGGGTCTAGCGGGAGCCGGTTTATCGAGGAGGCGAGGCGGAGGAAGAGGAATCTGTTTGTGTGGACGGTGAATAAGGAGGGGTGGATGCACTGGTGTATCCGGAAGGGGGTGGACGGGGTGATTACTGACGATCCGAAGAAGTTCCTCGCCGTGTGTGAGGAGTGGAAGGATGGCGGCGGGGTGAGGAGCACGTCGGTTGGCATGAAGGCGAAGACGGTGTTGCTGCGATTGATGATTGTGCCGTTCAGGCCGCTGTTCTGGTATATGCACTGGAGCAGGAGGAGGCAGATTGAGAAGATGTCAAGGAAGGAGGCGCCGTCCAAGGCTTAGGAGACGTTGGCGTACGCGGGCAAGATGTTGGGAGCGGCGGCGCGCTGGACGGCGAGCGTTACGATTTCATGATAACGATTGGAGCATGGCATAGGGCGGCTTGAGCGAGCGGCGTTGGACAGACATAAGGCAACGAGTTTTACAATCACATAATGAACAGCGAGGCGTGGCATATTCTATCTACTGGACCACGACTGTTGACTGACAAAAAGAATCAACACCACAATCGAGCAAAAAGTGAAATACATATGAGAGCCGCAGGATTCGAACCTGCGCGGGTTACCCCACTGCGGATCGGTGATCAGAACCTAAACACAGCGCCTTAAGACCACTCGGCCAGACTCCCTATTGAAAGCAGTTGCGTTTTGGCAGACGCAAATGGAGTCATGTTCAGGGGCGGAGGAGACTGATCCAACGTGGTCCTGATGTGGACACCGGTGCATCCGAAGTTTGAACACGACTCGCGGTGATAAAAGCCCTGGGCATGCCATCTCAAACTTAACTTCAACATAACGCCATTGGAGGCTATGCCGGCTGCATACTAGTCCGAGTCTCGATGAGTCGAACCAACGAGTGCGAGTGCGATGTCGATATAGGGACAATGGTACAAATGGATTTAAGCTTAAGACACTGGCTTACTACACCACACCATGTGCAGGGGGCTATGCTGTCGTCATTGACTGCCAGCGACAGGGTTGAGGCGGGCCAATTGCTTCTGCCGGCGGCCGCGGGTGCGTGCGCTGATGCCGCTTCAGGCAGTTTCAAGACAACCCATTCTTGCCATTGCTGCCATTCAATCGGGCTCCTTCTGGGGTGTTAAGTCCGCTAAAGCCAAACCCCCCCAAAACGCCCTAGGCTACGGCGCTGAGCAATCACACTGCGCGGAGGCGTCCAATAACTCCACGATATCTGCGAGTTTAGAATGAGCACGCATATCGCCGGCGAAGCATTCGCATCGGTGTCGTCCAAGTTTCCGTTCTATGTGGCCCCCAACCTGCATTGGTCTATTCTTTCTACAAAAGATCTCGTGTTCGCCACTAATCCTGTCCTCTTGTCCTGTCCCTAGAACCCATTACATCGTATACCGATTACTCAACGATACAATTGCCATCTCCTATCTCTGAACTACACTAGACCTGTTCCGAACTCCTAATCTCATTTCTCCTACGAAATACTATCGTTAGTCGAAGAGTCGAAATGGCCGAGTATACCGGAGGCTCGATAAAAGCAGATCATCTCTGCGTATTAGTCCACGGTGTAAGTTCCCCGTCCGTCCCGTCCGTCATCATTGGCCCGGGAGCTCCCTCGCAGGATTCCCGCCCTCGCAATTCGCGAATCGCTTGCTGACGCGGGTTACATCCTTTTCAGCTATGGGGCAACCCGGCGCACATGAAGAACGTCGCCAGGCGATTACGCGCCGAATTCCCCGAAGACCAGCTTTACATCCTCGTCGCGAAGAAGAACGCCGGGTCGTTCACGTATGATGGCATCGAGCTGGGCGGCGAGCGGGTGTGCCGCGAGATTGAGGACCAGCTGGAGGAGATCAAAAGCAAAGGAGGCAACATAAAGAAGCTCAGCATAGCAGGCTATTCGCTCGGTGGTCTAGTCGCGCGGTATGCCATCGGCCTGCTCTACTCCAAGGGCGTCCTCGACGAGCTCGAGTGCCAGAACTTCACCGCCTTCGCCAGCCCCTTTCTCGGCGTGCGGTCTCCCCTCCGCGGGTTCACCAACCAGCTCTTCAACGTCCTCGGCGCGCGCACGCTCTCCAAATCCGGCCACCAGCTCTTCACAATCGACCAGTTCCGCGAAACGGGCCGCCCGCTCCTCGCCGTCATGGCCGACCCGAAGTCCGTCTTCATGCAGGGGCTCGCCAGGTTCAAGCGCCGCACGCTCTACACCAACATCATCAACGACCGCACGGCGGTGCACTACACGACCGGCATCGCGAAGCGGGACCCCTACGCCGACCTGACCAAGGTAAAAGTCAACTACCTACCCGGTTACGAGCCCGTCGTCCTCGACCCGTCCAACCCCGTCACCCAGCTACCGCACGAGGAAGTTAAGAAAGACTTCCAGACGCGCGCGCGCGCCTACGCCGCCAACCTCCCCTTCGTGCTGGCGCTGTCCGTCTTCCTGCCCATGGGTGTCGTGGCCTTCCTCATCACCTCGGCGATCCAGACCGTCCGCAGCAGTAAGCGGATAGAGCTCCATGAGAAGGGGCTGGCGGGGATCGACATCAGGACCTACCGCAGCGTGCCGCTTATCATCAAGGAGATCCGGAACCAGATCGAGGACGCGTACGAGGAGCTTAATAGCAGGCAGCATCAGGACTACCTGCCCGCGTCGCAGGAGGTGTCCTCCGACTCTGACGACGAGGAGGACAACAAACAGCCCAAGAAGGAGCAGAAGCAGCCGACGGTAGAGCGGAAGCCGAGTGTGAGGAGGCGGCGCAGCTCTGCCGCGTCGGCGTCTCACCACCTGCCCACGCTGGCGCTCACGGCGGAGCAGTTCGAGATGATCGACGGGCTCGACGGGCTCGGCTGGAGGAAGTACCCCGTGTGGATCCACAAGGTGCGGCACAGCCATGCCGCCATCGTCGTGAGGTCGGACAAGGAGTCCTTCTCGGAGGGGGAGGTTGTGCTCGGTCACTGGGCTAAGGAGGAGTTTCTGATTTGAGTCAAGGCAGTTGATATTGATTGGGGGTTTTGGAAGGATGGAAAGGTAGACAGCATCGGGTTTGGAGTTATTGAAGGAAGCGAGGCGTTTTGGGATGGGATAC